AACTGAACGGATCACTTCAAAGGTAACCTCGCAGCTCGACCCTCTTGTGAACTTTATAGTCTCACCTTTTGCGCTGCAGCCTGCGATGGATGGCAGCCAGACACGCGGCTCAAGATTGAAACACATGAATTGGGATTCCGGTAAATGCATTACTCTTTTATGGGAAGTAGTGCTTTGTTTTGGCATTTGTTCGATATTCCAAGACATTCAGTAATAAATTGAGAAACTGAGTAACTTTATTATTACTTACTAATATGTTAGCCTATTGTTGAATCGCTGAAGAAAATATTTGCATCCGGCTATAAGAATCAGCCCCTGAATCAGCTCGTAAAATCTTAATTTTTACATTCGGCTTAAGAATGAATGCAGCAGTAGGTTCTTAATTTTTCAAATGAGATCTTTTAGGACATTTTTGTTTAGAAATTCTCAATCCGAATTATTTTAAACTTGGGTTTATTGTTTAAATGTCTATTTCTGCACATGGTCTTTGAAGTTTGCGTGTGAAATGATATGGTTTGCGGCCATTTTTGAATCCATACCTAAGAATCTAAGACGGCCAGCAATAACCTGATCATGAGCTCAACTGGAATCTATAATCACTCAAGAACCTCGATGGTGCAATGAACGCAATGTAGAGGTATGAGCAGTGATCAGTGCCTGGCTACGTCAGATCCCAGCAATGCCCTCATAAAGCAATATTCATCACCAGAGTCTATAATTTAGAGCGCTATAGTCATGGCACGACACAAGATTCCTGCTAGCACTTGCAGGCTGGAGTTATGCCATTGGCAGTCCCTGGCAATGATGGGTCAAATGCTTGCTTTTAATATAAACCATGAAAGAGATTGTTCATATGCAATAAAATTAACGCAATCAGAAGATACACGTTATGGATTTGTTCGAACGAATCCGTAAACCTAAAGAAAACGGTTTTACCGTAAATTGCAGATCTCTACTTGCGTGCTAGGTTATTGGTATCGTTGTATAGTACAATTATTTGTTTATTTATCAAGTTTATCTACATTTCATGAGTCTATCACACAGATGCATAAACTAAAATTAAGATTAATTAAAGGAAATTTCTGGAGCATTAAAAGCAGCCATTGCATGTAACTCGTGCCTGCCGAGCGCCGCCGGGTGGCCTTGTCTCAGCTTCAGTGATTCGCTTTCCCATGATGGCCTGTTCTCTGCGCGGGATGGCCTGTTCTCTGCGCGGGATGGCCTGTTCTCTGCGCGGGATGGCCTGTTCTCTGCGCAGGACGGCTGTTCTCTGCGCAGGATGGCCAGTTCTCTGCGCAGGATGGCCTGTTCTCTGCGCAGGATGGCTGTTCTCTGCGCAGGACGGCTGTTCTCTGCGCAGGATGGCTGTTCTCTGCGCAGGATGGCTGTTCTCTGCGCAGGATGGCTGTTCTCTGCGCAGGATGGCCTGTTCTCTGCGCAGGATGGCTGTTCTCTGCGCAGGATGGCCAGTTCTCTGCGCTGATTTGTTTGCTTTCGTCTCTGAATAGTTCGCAGCATTGCCACTAATTTTGTTGAATCATGTGTTTCTAATCGTAGCCTGCTAGAGGTATCGCGTGTATAACTTTTCTCAAGATGCTTTTCAACTATATTCTACGCGGAAATTAGCTGGTTTTAACAGTTACTTAGCTAATTTCTAAATAATTTGTGTGGAGAATTGCATGAATCTACCATTGTCCAATTTATCTATATGCCTCATTTGTTTTATTAATTCCTTTTTCTTTGTGGCTCAATTTTCCTCCACTCCTCAAGTTGCGTGCGCTCGCTTGCACTTCTTAATTTCTTGGTCTGTTTTCGATCGCATTTAGCGGCGTTGCTTTATTGAGACGCCCTTTAAATTTCTTCACACTGGCGGCTTCCCTTCAGCAAACAATCGCTCCTGAGGCTCCTGTGAGGCATTCACTATAATTACTGTGGTCTCTCAGGATCAATATTGCTCCTTAGCAAACACTGCTAATATACGCTCTCTTGGCTCCCAGCACCACAATGGAGGCGCTCGCGAGCACGTTCGAGAGAGATTGCTGGCTTGGCTTCAAGGAAATTGATCTTTCACTCAATATTTTAAATAATCCAGAATTAGATTTTTAAAATATAACGATCTTGGGAAAATTCTTCAAAAATTCGAATCACCACTGACTACGCTATAGAGAAACGATTTCCATCATTCTGACGTAGATCGTCAGAAACACTTTTGAAGTCTTAAAAATTTTTCTGCTCCTCGGCATAAATTTCACGTTGAAGATATTTATATGAAACAGTAATGTTTTGAAATGAATATAGTGGTAAAAGAAAAAAAAAGGCGTAAGAATTATTTGCTCAATTACGACAGCAAATGTCACAGTGTTACTCGTTATAATAAACTAAACAGCACCGAATTTATTACGAGATTCACCGATATAAGCCCATGATTAGGTGTGCTTTGAGTTTTAAAGGCGGCGCTTTCCTAGAGCTCGGCGGTGCAGGGGCTGACCTACAAGCCTCTCACGACGAGACGATCAGATTAAAGCGTCTTGAGGACGATAAAATCTTAGTGATTCCCTTCATTAAAGCGGATGTGTCTTGAGACGTGACCACACATCGAACTTAGCACATGTCTATTGATCCTTTATTCGATGTTCAGACCCATAAACCGGGCGTCCACGTCGAACATTCAGTAACATAACAAGCTTAGAACTTTCGTCGTGAAGCGAGGCAAGATTTCTTATGTAATGTACCTGAACATTTTAATCTATTACTAAACGAAGAGTAACTGATATAGATTTTAGAGCCGTGTTTTTATTTTAAAATTTTATTGAAACGAGTGCTGCATTTGGGACTTGACATCAAATTATGTGTAAAAAATGCACGGATAAATTTTCAAAAGTAACTTTGAAATTTGTGCAAACAAATATTGAATTAGATATAAAAAGAACACTAATAAAGCAAAAACAAAATTCTTGATGATATGTAATCTATAGTATATTGCAAATGTTAGCAATTTCGTACATTTGATTTGTTCAATTTTCAATTTGTTAATTGTTTCATGGCGTGATGTCTTCTTCTTACTAATATCAGATATCTTGCATAAACAAATATAATGTTTAAAGTGTTATTTGTATACAAAGTGTTATATCCGAAGCATATCATATATCATACTTTCATATATCATATATATCATATATATCATTATATATCATACTTTCAGAATGAACCAATTTTAATTTTAAATTCTTACCAAGTAACCGATGTGTATTATTATTAGATTGCTCCATGTTTTAGAACGAGTTAAACTGTTGAGGAGATAAACTTTTGCTGAGTGCAGTTCTCATTTCATTCTCAGAACAGCAAAGTTTGAATTTCAGCGACGAAGAACATTCCAGCAAAACCAACGTTCGTTGCCGAATGAGCGCCCAAGTTGTGCATAAAAACAGAGAGCTATCTATCATGGCCGCTCAAGTTGTAACTTTAGTCAATTTAAACTGTAAAATGACTAGGCATGGCTCAGAATGGTGGCACCAAGCAAAACTCCAGAGCAAACAGAAGTGTGAGCAAACAACTGAGAAAGCGGTTAGCTTAAGTCAACAGAGGCAGCCTCGAGTGATAGACGGAAGCCCTCTACCATAATGCCACCGTCTCTAAGGCTCATTCCAAACACTGAGCATCAAAATGGCGAACTGTGTCTCCCTTATGTCAGATACCGAGCACTCCATCCTATTCTTACAGTTACATTTACAGAAAATCTCAGTTGGTAGACTGTAAATACAACGTTACGAATTTCTGTTCCAATTATTTTCATTTATTCAAAAAAAGTATGCATAAATTTGAATCTTACTACTGACATCGGTTATTTGGTGCCCATTATGATGTGCGCCTCTTTATCTCTTTTAGTGTGTGATGTAAGAGCGAAAAATTAAGTAGGTCACAATCGCTTATTTGTTCTGAAATTGAAGGTACTGCGAGTTCCTCAATCTGTCTTCCTGAAAGAAATACTTAGCCATCTCAGATCCGGATAATATATTGTCTACAGATAAAATGATCCGGACGGAAAAGATACGGTTTCCACATATTCAAAAGAAGATAATCACAACAATTATTTATGGGCAAGACGCATAATAGCAAAAATCTATTTAAATTACTTGAAGAACAAGTTGAGTTTGTTTTGTACGGTATTTCGTAGTGAAGAACTGAAACCCAGAAGAGTTTTTTGGTATAAAATTTCTTGATATTAATTAAATAGTTTCAGATTCAGCTAAGATTGCTAAGTTAGAAAAAATCCTGCTCCTGATAACCTGAAGAACACGTATGCTGATTTCAATTATTCAATAGCTTCTTCAATTTGGTCTAAAATTATTATACGTGACGTCAACAGAAGATTACTGAAAAAGTCTCTTCTGTGAATGAATATGTTTGCTTGAAAGTGTTGGCCCTCGGCGTGGAATTTTGTTATATTTATTGAAGGAACTTTGATGTGCTCACAGCGGCGAAGGATCAAATACAAATAGCTAGCACTCGAGGGTCATTGAAAAGGAGGGTGAGATGCGAGGGCTTACAAGGGTGAACTCCCATGCAGGGCCAAGTACCAACATCTTCCTCAGGCTTAATACTAAATTCAAAAGTAAATGGAGGTTGATACTAAATTCAAAACTGAATACTAAATGGAGGGATACAGTTTTCCACAATAAATTAGTGTTTCTGCGAGATCCAACTATATGATGTGATTAAAAGTTGCAAAAATATTTTTAATGGTGTCATAATGATATTCCGACAATTTCATAATAATTTATCTAGGTTAAAGCTTCATAAAGAATTTCTAGCATATGTTGTTTTATTTACAGTCATTTTAAATAATTGTGTCACACCTTACAGGTAAAATTGATCCGGCAATTATATTTATTTATATTGATATAATTGGAAATAAACTTCGTATTAAATCTGATGTGGATTTATTCACAAGAGTCTGGTCTATTTTCTTTCCAGGAGCTGCCGATGTGACGACCTGCGTCATGGCGAATCCAGACATCATTTCAGCAGCACAGAATGACCTGACAGTTATTGAGGCAGGAAATTCATTTGGCCCTGGTTTATCAGACAGCCGTCCTGAGAGACGTTCACCGGTACAAATTGCTTATAAATCCAAGGAATTAACTACTTACCGAAACTTCACAGACCCGTATGCTTCTATGACTGAAAGGCACTTGAAAATCACTAGTAGTCAATCACATTTTGCATCATTAGAAGAGCGGGCGAGTAAACCAATGCAATCGCCAGATTTACATGATGAAATGAGGAAGAGTACAGAAAGATTGAGAGTGGACCAAGAACCAACAAACTTTAGCCAGAAGAAAAGCGCCCAAGCTATTTCTACTTCCGTATCAAGGAGTATGGTTAATATTCATGGGCACAGTAGCCGCAGAGCTGTCATGAACGGTGAATGTCATACCACGAACAATTCCGAAGACCCAAATATCATGAATCAATCTGAAAAGGAAGATGGTTTGAGATTTCCAATTAAAGGCGACAATATGAACAGAGTGAATGAAGCTTGTATGGACAATAGTATACAAGGAAATTCTCCCATGAACTTATCAAGTCACGACGATGATCGTACCTCATCGACGACAGTTCACACGACAGTTGACAGTATAAGTGCAGCCTCGCCTGTCGGGGACCACACGTCTGACCTGTCAGGGTCTCGGGATCACACGGCCGAGCGTCCCCAGAAGCTCAGTCAGGCTGTCAAGCGCGGCGCCTCTACACTTGCTTTTTCTATCGACCGCATCATGGAACCCACGCCTAAGAAGGCGCGTCTACCTCAGGTCAGATGATGTTGTAATTCAGTTAACAGGGCAATTAATTATAAATCAATAACAGTAAAGGTACTTTAATTGAAATTTTTAGTCAATTGAAATATTATGTAATACTTTAAACTGTAAATGGAAACTGAAATTTTTAGCAGGGATGATAACCTAAAATATATCTTTTTTATTGATTAAAAATGAGATGAGAAGATAGTTGGTACATTTCTTCATCATAAATTCTTTTTCAACTAATTTCAATCATTTGCAAACATTAAGTTCAAATTATTTCTTGGTCTCGAAGGACGAAGAAAGGCGGAGTAATTTGGTGCGGCCGCGTCTGCTGCAGCCGACGCTTGCGTCTCACGGCAGAGCCTCGTCCGGCTCGCAGTTCCTCGCCCAATATCCTCTTCTTTATCATTATTACCAGGTAATTCTACTACTTCTTCTCTAAAGTTACTATGAATCGTTTTTAAATGTTTCACATATAGTTATTTTTCACATATAGTTCTATTATATCGCGTGATTCGAGAGATCTGTAGTAGTCATGTGTCGATGACCCTGGTGCCAGTCGAGCATATTATCACTGGCTAATAACAATTTTCTTGGTTTCCAGCAGATGGGCAGCAGTTTACCGGCAATATCGAGCCTGTCTCCTAGCCCAAACAAGGATGTTGACTCGAGAAGACCTTTGAACATAACTCCACATTCGCTGTCAGCCTTCACACGTCTCAACAACTTGCAAGAGGCCAGAGAAGACCTGCAATGTAATAGGCCTGGCCAGTCCCATTATTTCGACTCGACAGACAGAAGACATCGCTTGTTCTCGCCGCAGCTCAAGACACAACAGACTCCCGTAACAACTTTATCACGCAACAGGACGCAAATCAAATATGCTAGACCAACATCGTACTTCACTCCCTACGTACCTAAGGAGAAGTTGCTCATTGAAAATCACGCGTTCTGTCCCGTATATAACGCGTCCAAGTACAATCGTCCCCTGGCGGCGTCACATGGGGCTCAGTCGTCAAGAAATAATATTGATGCGGACTCAAACTTATGGACTTCAAAGCCAGAACATTCATCACAAACTAACGTAAGTGATTTTGAAACGCAAAAAATTATCACGTGCAGGCTAACATATTTATTTTATATTTCTGGTGGATAAGAACTAAAGGCGGCATTGAAACTGAGAGTCCCTATAGGATTATTCTGGTATTATAAAATTCGTTTGACGAAAACTTCAAAAGACGATGCTAAAGTTTAACCACTGTTGGATACAGGGAGATTACACCAACCCTGTAGTAATAATATTCGAAGAGGCTCATTTAGGCCCAAGGTTGCATAACAATAGTTTCTGGCATAACCATATATATTCCAAGGTGGCAACCTTGCAATGAAGCTTGTAATGAAGTGACACGGCGCGTACAACATGTTTACTCGGGCATAACAATATGTAATAGTTCGCTCGCATTTGAGCGTACTTCCATCAAATATGTTTAGGTGAATCTTGAGGAAAATTCTGAAAAGTGTTCGCCTGATAGATATTATTGTGTACCTTCGATCGTAATTCGCTATTTTATCGTCATGTGTGAAGAATTTCACCAGTAATGATATTTTAAACTCACTGTTCGAAAAGACGGCGAAAAACGGTCTCACCGGCGTTCCAGTGGCCGGCCGCCACGTCAAAATAAACTATATATCCGTTTTTTTAGATGTTGTGCGGGTTTCTAATGTAAAATTTTAATAAACACGGTCATACGGTATTTTTTTCGCGTGCCGGTCAGCCACTAGAACGCCGGTGAGACCATTTAACGGTGATTTTTCTTACAGTGCACATCATTCCCCAACATCGTTGGACGCACTAATAGAAATATTATCGAAGAAGAATTCACAAACATTTATATGCTTCAAGATCCGAGCACGTATCATTCGGCAGCACACATTATATTCACCTTCATTGAACAGGCACCTGTGGTAACATTAAAGCAAACATCGTTCATCAACACAGATGAGCGCATATACATCAATATACTATGTACTTGCTTCATTCGGCAATAGCTATATCGATTATAATAGTAGTATTAGTGCATGCATCCTTCACTAACATTTATGAGCGTACTTACATCAATAATTTCCTCTTACATCATTCATCAATAGCATACCAAGTATAATTGTACTATTAGCGTAATCATTAATGCACTACGTCAGTGCGCTAACGATTGGACCCGTTGATGCTGCAGAGGACGAAGGAGTCGTCTCAGTCGACGAACTTCTCGCCGCGCTCGTCTGACGAGCGCCAGCGGTGCCCCGCGACTTCGTCGTCAGCAGACCAGCCCTCCAGTGACGAGGAGGACGAGCACATCGTCATAGACGAGACAGGTACGCAGTTATAGTCTCAATTCTGCTACCTTACATATGTTATTAATATATCCGACCAACAGTACTAATTTAGAAATATATTCGAGGGATCATTGCCATTGCAATCATTGTAAGAGAACTTGATTTATACTTTTTTATTGTGCGTGAAATATTAATTTTTTAAAATTATTATTAGGAGAAGGATCATAAAATTACTCGGAATGGTTGAAGATGGAGGAAAATTTTCAGAAAATGAGGTCAAAAAACTCAAAAAAGTCCGTTTACAACTCGTGGAGGCACTGCGCTTTAACTTAATTTTTAATTCATGACAAAAATCAAATTCGGATTCATTTTCCAAGTTAAAGTGGACACATCATAAGAAAATTGGGATTTGTCATAAGAAAAGATAACGTTTCCCCAACAGACAACTCCCCCCGTTTGTACTCTTCGTGTCCCCGGCGGGAGGAGGAGGGAGCTGAGCCCCACGGTACATCGGGGGAAGGGGCGCCATCTTCCCCCAGCGACCCCATGACGAGGGGCGCGTCACACAAGACCTTCACGTGCCTGGAGTGCGGCAAGGTCTTCAACGCGCACTACAACCTCACCCGCCACATGCCCGTGCACACCGGCGCCCGGCCATTTATCTGCAAGGTAATACCGCCTCACCCGCCACATGCCCGTGCACACCGGCGCCCGGCCGTTTATCTGCAAGGTAATACCGCCTCACCCGCCACATGCCCGTGCACACCGGCGCCCGGCCGTTTATCTGTAAGGTAATACCGCCTCACCCGCCACATATGCCCGTGCATATCGGCACCTGGGCGTTTAATTGCAAGGTGTTGTTGCTGGGTTCTTCAGAGCCAAAAAAAAAGTTTCATCATAACACTATATCCATTGATTGTATTCGGGACGATTGTTTCAATGTGAACTCTTAGTTCTCAAAGTGATTAACACGATGGTATTTCTAATAGCTTTGAATTGAGTTGAATCTAATTTGCACTCAGTAATTCGACAACTTCTCGCTGATCGAGTTATTTCTAATGTATCTCTTGTTAAATAATAATTCTGTCGAGAGCAATGAGAAGGCAAGTCAACCGGTTGCTCTACTTCATAATTTGGAAATAACTAATCGGCTGTAAATTCGAAACATCTCATCAAGTAGGCAAGCCAATGATTTGTTTCAGGTCAAAATGTTCTGATGAATGATACATATTTTCATTTTTGTTGTTATTATTCAGTAAACTATCTCAGTCATTTACAGCATTATTATTAACGGAGCACATTACGATTATTGCGTGCCGACGTCTTTTCATTAAAAATCAAACGGTTTCATAGGGGATTTTGCCATAGTCGTAAAAAGGTAATTGACACTGAATGCCCAACTTTGAATGATTTATTTGTATGTTAATAAGGCAGCAGTTAACTCTCATATGGCTAAGCTATAGCTAAGTGAACATGTTTTGTTTGCCAGGTTTGTGGTAAAGGTTTTCGCCAAGCATCCACTCTGTGCCGACACAAGATCATCCACACGGCTGAGAAGCCGCACAAGTGTCACACATGTGGCAAAGCATTCAACAGGTTCGTCAGTGTTGTTGCCATCGAAGTTCAGATTACATTCAAATAGAGTTATTGCTTCCGTCATTAGTTTTACGTAAATCAAGATACTAATGTACTTATATATATAATATATATATATATATCTGTTTTTAATATTATTCATGTTTGAAAAAGTCAGCTGTAGCCAAATTAATGGCAAGTATAATAATATGATGTTTCTCTTCTTCTTTTTCATGCTTATCATATAATTTTCAAAATTTCTTGACGAAACAAAAGCAAAGAATTTTCCGTCAAAATTGTGGTTGATTCTGAATTTGATCCTACCCTTAGGTCATCCACCCTCAACACCCACGTGCGCATCCATCAGAATTACAAGCCGTGGGTGTGTGAATATTGCGGCAAGGGATTTCATCAGAAAGGCAACTATAAAAATCATAAATTGACGCACTCGGGCGAAAAGGCGTACAAGTGTCATGTGTGTAACAAAGCCTTCCACCAAATATATAACCTAACGTTCCACATGCATACTCACAACGATAAAAAACCGTTTCAATGTACCCTCTGTGGCAAAGGATTTTGTAGGAACTTTGATTTGAAGAAACACGTAAGAAAATTACACGAAAACGCTCCGTATTCGGGGGTATCACCCCCATCTTCTCCCCAGCCCTCCGAAGGGGAAACCCAAACAAGCAGCGCTCCTGTTAAACGTGAGCCGACTTACGACTGTGCCAACGCTACCATTCTTCAACGACATCTTAGTTTGCTACCATCTCTGGTCACCAATGCTGCTGGTTCTTTAGGTTCTTCACTAAACGTGCATCCACACCATCTCCACCATCACCACCAACATCACCAACAGCAGCAGCCCGGAGGTTCACATCGGTTCTCGGCCCACATCGGGAACCCGTTCTTCATGAACAGCGCCGGTCTCCACGCAGGCCCTGGAACATTTCTGAACAAACTGCCGTCCCTCCTTGGCTGATGGTGGTTCATGATTTGCTTAGCTTCAAGTTACCTCGAACGCTAAGTTGGTTTGGAGTGTAAACTATAGGCGATGTTTATCTTATCTTATATGCCGGAGTGTAATTTATTAACAGGATGTTCGGTTTCAGTATGCGTATCAAAAGAAACCATTTCCTAATGCTTGAAACATTCTGACTTATGATCAAAATATATAGATGAACTTTTTGCAATAATAATAAAATCGTTCATATATGCAGGCACGTTTTTTTCATTTGGTAGAAGGAAAGTTTACGTATTTCGTTAAAGAATTGTCGTGATTTGGCTGTCACATTCCCAATACAAAGCCAATATACCGAAGAAAATCATTTTTTATAAGTTATTTTAATAAAGTTACCATCATTTATTCATTACACAATCAAAATTCGAAGGTAATGTCTAAGATCTGAAAAGACATTCGACAAAGACTGTACATCATAAATATCATGTCAACCTGTCATGTACATCATGAATATCATATCACTCTGTCATCATATGTTTATGTTGTTGCCGGACACCGATGCCCAAGTCATGTTGTAGCGAGTCAAAAAATATAAAACTGTGCCCAGTTACTATATAAGCCTTATCAAAGTATCTCTAATTTTGTGTGTTACCTGCATAACCTTTAGCTGTTACCATTTATATGATCTCATGTAAACTTACCGATTCTAAATTACCATTGCAAAAGTTTGTTTACCGCATGGCTATAAATTATTTGGAATAGAAAACTTATTTGCATTGAGCTGCGATCCGGCGAATGAACTCAATTTTCTTCATACGGCGTATGCATTCTACGCGTACTGAAAAATTGGCGTAATATACATGCACGGCTTATGTGTACGATGTGTAACTCTTTCATCTATGCGAGTGACTCGTTCATGTGTACGATGTTTGACTCGTTCTTGTGTACGATGTGTGACTCGTTCATGTTTACTACGTATGATTCGTTCATGTGTAGTATGTATGACTCGTTCATGTGCACGATGTGTGACTCTTTCATCTATGCGAGTGACTCGTTCATGTGTACGATGTTTGACTCGTTCATGTGTACGATGTTTGACTCGTTCATGTGTACGATGTGTGACTCGTTCATGTTTACTACGTATGATTCGTTCATGTGTAGTATGTATGACTCGTTCATGTGTACGATGTGTGACTTGTTCATGTGTAGGATGTGTGTGTTTATAATTGGTTCTTCTCAAAGTCAATGTTCAGGTGAAGAAAAAAGCACATGTACATGCCACTACTCACACCAAAGCGTTATTTAATTAGTCAGTCTAAGAATATTGTGGATTTTCTTAATCTGAAGAGCAATGCCTATTTGTATGATAATTAATATATTGTGATGGCATCCTGCCAGCGCTGATAATGAAGGTATAATAAACTGGAAATGATGTCTTGTAATGTTTTCCGTTTTAACCCTCAATTGTTTACGCTGTCTTGTATTGATAACGACTCAGTTTTCAATAATAAATACGGCTATTTATGAAAAAAAAGCAGAAAAGAGAATGCAAATGTATTTATCAAAACCATATTATGATAAATAATGTTCTTGAGAAGGCTATTTTCTCTTCATATTTAAAATTATTACTCGTATCGCTAAACCTTGCTTAAATAAAATGTCTATTGTCATAATTTCTCGTCATGTTTCATCACGCAGTTTTTTGTGTTCATCTGCCGCCACCTTCACTCGTTATTATCGTACTACGCCGTCCCTCATCGTCACCTAACATCGTCACTACTCCTCTACGCCGTCCCTCATCGTCACCTAACATCGTCACTACTCCTCTACGCCGTCCCTCATCGTCACCTAACATCGTCACTACTCCTCTACGCCTTCCCTCATCATCACTACTCCTCTACGCCGNAACTCACCTGATGCTCTGCTTCATAACTCACCTGATGCTCTTCTTCATAACTCACCTGATGCTCTGCTTCATAACTCACCTGATGCTCTGCTTCATAACTCTGACTCTGCACCTAATCGCATGAACCACCTGACTCTTCTCTTAATTTTATGACCTACTTGACTCTCCATTTTGTGACCTATTTGACTTTCAGCTAAAGTCTGAAGGCTCCTACCTTCTACATGGGTCACTTTTAGCGCCAAACCAAATCTTTCAAGAGCGTCAGAGTATCACGTCATCTGATGCTGATGAATGAAGTCAAATTAGGCAAAATCGAGTGTTTGTGAAGCGACACTTGCGAGACCGAATTGACATCATTTTCGATCTCCTTTTGTTCAATAAGGAAACTGTTTCAGAACAATTCATAATAGATTCATTTAATCGTAAATTTTCAACCTGCTGTTCGAATTTATGCAATTTTTCCGGCGTTGAGCATTTTCTTATTCGTCATACCTAAACTGTCGCATTTCCCTCCGAGTGTTTTCACACTTGCAATCTATTAACCACTCACCTGTAAACTCTCTTCACTTCCATATCATTTAATCTCTCCATTACTTCCCATGAATTAGTATTTCTCTCACTGCCTCCACGTCCCTCAACTCACACCCCTCGTGCAGGGAGGAACCCTCGCGCGTCTCGCCGTAATCTCCAGTTTTGAGTGGCCAGGCGTTGGCAAGGCTCCTTTACGCCACTCACACTCACAACGTCGGATTAAAATCCATTCTTCCAGTGGCTGCCTCGGCCATTGAAGCTCACGACGTGTCACCCAAATTAGTTTCAAATAAGTCCTGGCAACAGCGACGCTGCCGCGCGTTCCCTTTTGCATGGGACGGCAGCGATTGTCGCGTCTTGCGCTCCACTGGCATGGAAATGTTCGTAACTGAACATTAATTTTAGACGTCAAGGTTGTGTAATAACTACTGGTTCTTACGTCTTCATGTTATTATAAAATACTGATGATGAATCATTTCTTCTTAGGACTGAAAATATTGGATAATGCGCAAAGTGCAGCTTGTCTCAGGTGTTCATTTGTTCGTCATTTATGATGGCCTGAGCACGAATTCCGAGCAAATATTAATTGGCTCTTTTTTTAACTTAATGACGGAAATTAACCGTCCGTGCAGTTTAAAATAAAAACCATCGAAGACTTCTATAATCTATAGTGATGGTTTCATTGTGTTAAGAGAAGGGGTCAATCTTCTTCTATGTTATCTTAATGAAAAGATTTTGCGCATGTCATAATTCCATTTCAATACATAGTGAGAGATATAAATATGAAAAGATGCAAATAGAAAGTAAGAGATCATTCTACAGAAAAAATAAATCCCCAGAGTTTAAAGATGTAAATAACTTTACAATTAGTAATTTTACCTCAAGGGCTTTCATATTGCTAGTGTAGAAAATAATTTGTAGGTACTGAGAAATTGTGAATCTGGACGACGGAGCGTCGTTTCCCTCGCTCTTCACCGCTCAGTGAGGAATAATCCGACAAATGCCGGACGATGTTGGCGGCTCAGCCTCCCCTTCCCTAAAGATTTAGGAAATAAGCTGCAAATCTCATATCGAGTGCTATTTGGGTGGATTTTTAGGTGACCTCTGACGTATAATTAGCAGTTGCGTGACAGCCAAACATGGAGCTTATAGCTGCTTCTGATGGTCATGATGGTGATGCTGCTGCATTGGATAGTATGCTTTTCACGCTTACTGGAGCTATCTCTGTACAAAGCTGCAGTTGTGATAATGCTGCCAGTTAAGCATTAAATGCTTTAGTCAGTTTCAGGAAAGAGTGAATGCAGAGTTTGTCAGAGGCCTTTTATTAGTGTTAACGGACTAAGTTGCAAATTGAATTAGTTCACTGTCGACCTAATCTGAGAGTCGCATTATTATTATTTTTAGGTGACCTCTGACTACTTCATTTTTATTGAAAATTCATTTTTATTGAAAATCATGCATACGTAGTTCGGTATCACTAATTTTACCAGTTTACATTGCTCTCCCGTAGCTATAAAAACAACGCAAAAATCAGAAAAGCATAACCAAGACTCGAAGGACTTCGTTCTTAATCACCATTAAGGCGAATGGTGCGACAGAAATGTCGATTTAATTGTGATGGAATGTCCTTCAGGAGAAAGTGCTTGGGCTGATCATTGGGTTGGCGTAAATTTCTCGACGATTATTCACATAAAATGATTTTTGAACAGTAAAATTCCCGAATTAATTTACTTGAAATTGAAATAAATAAATTAATTTACTTGAAATTGAAATAACTAATAAATTTTTTCAATAAATTTCGAATGATTAACCAGTTTCTTCGCATATTTATACCGTGGCCGCGAATAAATCATTCACACGATAGCCTGTGTTCATAGTTGCATGTAGCGCCTTTTGGCTCCTCGACCATCACAGCTCGCTCAGCGCTCATGTTATCCTGTTTATCAGACTCCCGCAGTCAGCAATTGTTATCCCTGATCGATTCTTTTGGCGCGAGTCGAGCATATTAGCGATAACGCCCTCGAGATAATGCACTTCGGGCGAGGGGACGCTCGCCAGACGCTACTCCATCGCAACGAGGGTACAAGAATCTAGCGTTCTTTAACAGGCCTGCTGGAGATACGAAATTTAGGCATAAATGCTATACATGCATAGAGGCTTTGTTCATGGAATACATTACTAATGTACACAAAGAAAAAATGTTATATTTTTTATTTCATTCTGATTTTGATTGGATAGGTTGTAATCATAGATAAAAATTATTTCATATAATTAATACTTTGCGCTCCCGAGTATTTTAATTTCAGCTGGCAAATAACGGAGCTGTCGTGCACTGAATGAAATACTATAAATTCAATTACAGACCTAAAATATCGCGTGAAATAATACTCTTAAATTCAGCTACGCGACACAAAATAAAAATGAGGAAATAACTGAAAATTAAATTCGTGTGTACAGCGCAATAATAACAGAAATGCAGTAGCCCGAAACCCTCGACGATGAATCGCAAACGTGACGGTGCTCGGTGTAAATGAAAAATTCCGGGCATGAAACAAACAAGACCGGAGTGTTTCCAAGCAGGATTAGAGTCGCTGGCAGAGATGGCGCTCACAGAGGCCAACCTCTCGCTGACATCTGAATTTGACACGCATTTAAATTTGTAATCCCTGGGGAAGAAAAAATTTTACAACAGAAAGCATGCATTGACCGCTTCCATGCAGAGGTTTTCTCAATACTTTTATCGAAAAATACAAATTATCTGATTTCGTGCTCTAATGCAGATGTTTAACTGTTATTTGTTATTCACCTCTTGCCCCGAAAGAAAGAAAAAAATTTTCCGATTCCTAATGAACTTGACTACAATTGGAAATGACATTCCCCATAAATATCTAATTAGGCAGAGAAGAAATTTAAGATAATTATCGCTTTGCGCCGTATGACCACGCACTGGAGAGAGTAACTAATAGCTGTGGCATCAAATCGATCAAATGTTAATGAAATTTCTTCGGCAGAGATATTTTTAGAGAAGTGACATACAATGAAGGGCCTAAACACCTACTTAGAATTTGTTATCAAGCGTTAGATGCACTCCAAAAATTCTGCGTTCGTGTAAAATGCCCTTAAAAGTACGTTTTACTGTTTGCTGTACTGAAAAGTTCAGCACCTGATTAAATTGGTGCGTCTGATAAGTAATTTCGAGTGTCGTCAAAGTTCCGGTAGGATGGGAATTTTTCCGAAGATAAATCCTCAAACACTATTTTAGATAGTTTGTTGGGAAAATTTTTCAACTGGACTTCTTGAACTAAAGAAGCAGCGTCGGTTCGTCTGAATAAGACAGAGCCGAGGCTCTCAAAGAACTTATATTATTTGTGGCGAGTTATGTTAAAATCTTTGACACTATTTTATCTGTTCAACTTAACCTGTAATGCCAAGGTGTACA